TATATATATATATATATATATATATATATTGAATCCGGTGCACACCCCCTAGTCAGCTGAGCCCGTGAGCACACTCCCTGATCGTTGATTTTAATTTTTTGACTATTCAGATTGATTACCACTTGGATCCCATGTTATACTGATTTTAGATGAAACATGGGTGTATTTGTCCTTAAGCACTATATTTATTACTTTCCATTTCATTTATTTCCATGTTTATAAAGATTTGTAGCGTTATTTAAGCTCTCCTTAATCAATATTTCTATCTCTCTCTCTTAGTAATTTTCTTTGGAATTTTACGGCGGTGTGTGCGTGGGTGTGGAATGGTGTGTGCCTTTACTGTAACAGGGCTCGTACACCATGGCGTGCTGGTTTTTTTCATAAAATTATGCGTTTTGGTATGTGCGTTTCGTGATACAGGCATGTACATTTTGGTTTGTGTTTTACTAGTTTCGGGTGTATGCGAAACGTAGATATAGTATTGGGGTTGTTGTGTGTGTGTGTGTGTTTTTGTTTTTTTTTTTTTTTTAAATTGTGGGGAATTTTACGATGGTGTGTGCACGGGTGTGGAATGGCGTGTGCGGTTTTCTGTAACAGGAGGTGTACACCATGGCAAACTATAAAACGCACACACCATTCCACACCCACCCACACACCGCCGTAAAACTTCCCATAATTTAAAATTTCAAATGTACAAAATATAATTAATTATTACCATTGATATGGTCCTTAATAATTTAAAATATCAATTTCCATTCATAATCTCCCTAATATAATGCTTAAGATTCCAATTGAATTATATCCATAATTAAACATATGTCTACAATTACTATTTAATCCTTTTGATTTAAATATATCCTTAATTACTTTCACAATCTCTTATAATCTCAACCATTTATGAAAAATGACTATATATATATATATATATATATATATATATATATATATATATATATATATATATATATATATAATTAAGTTCCAGTGCGGGTAATTGTCTCCTGTGCAGTTGTGCGGGTGATTAATGTGCATGAGTTTTGTACTTAAGGTGCATGAGTCTTGTGATTAAGCTGCGTGAAGTTTGTGCTTAATGTGCGTGAGTGTGTACTGAGTTTTGTGCTTAATGTGCGTGAGTTTTGTACTTAAGGTGAATGAGTCTTGTGCTTAAGGTGCGTGAGTCTTGTGCTTAAGGTGCGTGAGTTTTGTGCTTAATGTGCGTGAGTGTGTACTTAATGTGAGTTGTTGTTTAAACTTTAAGGTGCATGAGTTTTGTGCTTAATGTGCATGAGTTTTGTGCTTAAGGTGCGTGAGTCTTATTCTTAAGGTGTGTGAGTTTTGTGTGCTTAACGTACGTGGGTTTGTGCTTAATGTGAGTAGTTGTTGAAACTTAAATGGTGCATGAGTTATGTGCTTAAGGTGCGGTTGACTTGTGCTTAACATGCGCGAGGCTTGTGCTTAACGTTCGTGGGGTTGTGTTCTTAAGGTGTTTTGTTTGTGTGCTTAATGTGCGTGTGTTTTGTACTTTAAGTGCTTCAGATTAATGTTTAACGTGCGTCCACCCGCACAACCGCACGGGAAGCCCCACCCGCACAACCGCACGGGAAGCCCCACCCGCTTGAATGTGTTCCACTTTTAGTCCCACCGTTAGTATTTCCATCAAGAGGCCGTGTAATCTAGGTGTATTTTGACCTTTCTTTTCATCCAATACTATGTTTGACTAAAGAAATGAGAACATTAAACCTAAAACCTAAGAAACCTCGCTGGCCCATGTTGGAACGAACGAAGCAATGTAGCTTTGGCTTCCCATTCTCGTTGTTCGAAGAGCCATCTTCGAATATCGGAGGAGGAGGACGAAGCGCCTGGATTAAAAGAGAAGAGACAAACATAAAAAGACCAAAATACCATTTGATTATACGGCCTCTTGACGGAAATATTAACGGTAGACTAAAAGTGAAACACATTCAATAATAGTGGTTGTAAAGTGGCAAAAAAAAATTAAAGTGGACTGAAATTGGAAACGCCCATATAACAGTAGGACAAAAATGGAATTCACTCACTCTCTCTCTCTCGCTCTCTCTCTCTCTCTCTCTCTATATATATATATATATATATATATATATATATATATATATATATATATATATATATATATAGCCCTAAACCAAACATGATTATATTACATACCTCAATTTTTAACCAAACACAGTAATGTAACATTTCCTAAGGTAATCTAACATTCCGTGAACTAGTATATTAAAAATGTACTTTTTGTTATGGTTTACACAACATTATGTGGACCATGATCCACACAATAATTTGCCATTAAGCTAAGGCATGTACTTTACATCACCATATATATATATATATATATATATATATATATATATATATATATATATATATATATATATATATATATAAGTGTTAGAATAATTATGATATATGTGGCTCATTAATTAATTATTTCAATGTCTCCCAATTAAGATAAATATTTATCTTTATCAACGTGAGAATAAAGGGTTATTATTATGAGACTCTAGTCCTCTCTCTCTCGTCTTTCGCATAACTAAAAGCTCTCTCCATCGAAGTTCTTAGTTTAAGGAAATGCAAAAGGTCTGGAAGGAGAAATCAAGTCTCTAGTTCAAGCAACACAGGTAAAACATGGAACCAGGAATGTTCGTTAAACGTTAATTAAGCATATATAATATGTAAAATTCATTGTGTTCTGAAGATCTTGTGTGGTTAGGATTTATCTTATATTTGATATCAGAGACAAGTTGAAGAACATATGTTTTTTCATATATGATTATGCAAATCAATGGCTTGTTATGTATCTCACTGAAACATAATATTATATGGATATGTAAATTATAGTACGTATGGATATGTTTTAAAGGATTAAACATATATGTTATTTACGTGAATGATTCCAATTGTATTCATATTTGTGTCGTCCCTTTCAATTACGTGAGTGACTGCATGCTCCAATAGAAACATCAACATTTGTGTCGTCCCTTTCAATGAACTCAATAGAGGGACAAATTCATTGACTGATAATTATTGTGTTGTATTATTAGTTTTTTATTGTTATGAGGTTTGGTTGTTGATTCATCCACTTAAGTTTAGAGACTAATAGTGATAATTATGTATGTGGATATGCTGCGTAGGATTAATTATATGTCTACAGGTTATTGGATTGTTAATTATGTATGTATTGTAATTACGTAATTCATTTAAACTGTTATTTCGTATTGATTTTATGATTTTATTTAGGAATAATGTTCAAATTGACTACGGAACAAAATGTGAAAGTGTAATTTGATCACTGAACGACAAAAAGTACAATTAGGTCACTCAACTCTTCAAATGTAAGCAATTTCACGTGATAACAGGTTAACAGTCCATATAGCAGGTTGCATGTTGACTTGACTTTTTTTTTTTTTTTTTAAATTCCTTTTCATTTCTTCTTCTTCTTCTTCTTCTTCTTTTTTTTTTTTTTTTTTTTTTTTTTTTTTTTTTTTTTTTGCATAAAATCTATGTTGCAGTATGGACCTGGTCCTTTCCTTTCTTTCTTTACTCTTTCTTCATTTGTAGTACGCATCTGCTGCAATACGCACCTGGAGATAAATTTTTAGGTGTATATGTTCATATAAAAGAACTTGGTACTGCGGTAGATTTTTTTACAAATATTAAATTTAAATGAAAATCAATTGCCCGTGATTATGTGATATGATGCTTATAAAGAAATGACATGATGCTAGATTTTATTGTATTGGGTAAATTGAAGTTTAATAATTATGAAATATTTAAGAGTCGCCTAAAGGTTGGTCAATAATTTTATAATCATAAACATAATAGTGATGAATTATTTATATTCGTTAGTTTGGGTTGTTTAGCATATCCAAAGATAGCAAACAAGTCTAGTCGTAATATACTTACTGGCCAATTATATGAAAAATTATAATAATAGAACACCGTTTTATATATGTTTAATGTTATACGTTGTTGGATCACCCAAAGGAGACATTCAATGTATTTGATTGTTTATGAGTATGTTAATTAAATCTGTTTATCTATTTATGTATTAATGTTTAAGTATTTTATATGTATTGCAACATCTAGTTGTGTTTCAATTCATTGTCAGCTGCACCGCCTTTGTAAAGTTTAATGGGCTGAACTTTGCTGAGTGGAATGCATGAACAAATCCAGTTTCACTTCGGTGTTCTGGATCTTGATCTAGCACTCTTGATTGACAACCCTGCTGTTGTTGATGATTCTAGCCGTACTAATGATGTAGCTTTCCATCAAGCATGGGAAAGATCAAATAGATTCAACTTAATGTTTATGCGAATGACACTTGGAAACAACATTAAGTCTACATTTCCCAATTTGACAATGTAAGGATTTGTTGAAACATGAGGAGGAAAATTCACATTCTGAATGTGGTGATAAGGCCCTACCACAATACCATGCATGATTATGTTACTGAGATGTTGAGCTTAGCAACAAGATTAAGGTCCATGGACTTGAGTGATAATTTTGTTGTACAATTTATCTTTAATTCTTTACCTCTCGAGTATAAAACATTCTAAGTGAATTACAATTTTATTAAAGATGGGTGGAATGTGCTCGAATTGCGTAAGTTAAATTAATTATGGAACAATAAACCCAAGTTAAGAGCAATCCCCGACTGGATTGGAAGCTCGGTCGGATCTATTCATCACTCCCAGCTGATATGAAGACTCATAGGCATATATGTTCATCGAATTTTGTATTAAGAACATATGAGGCTCACATTATTTATCTCTCTATTTTAGCTCCTGTTGATTAGCTCTGTAGGTTAGATTAGTTGTTGTAACTACTTCTCTAGCTTTCCTCCTCTGTACACTATTTATAGCTGCATGAGCTTACATTAATAAACATCAAGTTCATAAACTCTATATGGTATCCAGAGCCTGAAATCTCCTACGAAAGAATTCTTTTTTTTTTTTTTCTAATCAATGGCTTCCACCAACACCAATGAGATCATCCAGCTAAATGCTCCACTCACTTTCCTATCAAACTCACCACCACCAACTTCCCAGTTTGGCGCCGGCAGGTTCACGCCACTCTTGTTGGCCTCAATCTCATGGGCTACGTTGAAGGTTCCACCAAGGAACCGGCGAAATTCTCGGACGATGCTCAATCCGTCCCCAATCCTAATCACTTAATTTGGTACCGACAAGACCAAATTATTGTTAGTGCGCTTCTAGGAAGCTGTACTGATACAATTCAGCCGCTCATCTCGTAGGTCACGACGGCTCATGATGCGTGGCAACGCCTTGTTGCAGATTATGCTAGTGCCTCCCGAGGACGTATTATCTCCCTCAAGGCCAAGCTAACCAGAAACCCGAGAGGCTCTCGGTCTATCTCAGCATATCTCAATGATATGCGAGCCGTAGCTGACGATCTTGCCTTGGCTCAGTGTCCGGTGTCTGAGGAAGATTTGCTCGTGCACATTCTGACTCAGCTAGGAGAAGAGTACAACTCCATCATTTCTGCAGTCCGCGTTCGTGAGAAACCTCTCTCGTTGGGTGAGTTAGCCGATGTGCTACCTGACCATGAACTTCAGTTGAAGGATGCAGATGATTCACGCCAGTTGTTAGCAACTACCAATGCTACCCAGCGGACTTCGTCCCCTCGAAACAACCGACAGTTGAACTTCAATCGCAATACCCATACCAATACTAACAATTACAGAGCGAATAGATCGACTTGGAAACAAGGTGACACTAATCGGCCCACTGTTATATGCAAGTTTTGCAACTTTGCAGGACATGAGACGAAAGTTTGCCGCAAGCTGGCTAGGTTCCTAAAAGAGCATAATGTCCTCACCACCCAGATGCCACCTACAGCCCAGTCTGCGCTAGTATCTCCACCCTGGATGTTTGACAGCGGTGCATCGCATCACGCCACTTCTAGTCTCGAGTCACTGCAGTCAATCTCTGAGTACAATGGACCTGATGAGGTTCGCCTGGGTGACGGTAATTCCCTACATATTTCACATATTGGCCAGTCTGTTATCCCTACTCCATCCTCTGTCCTTAACTTAGAAAATATCTTGCATGTTCCTCAGTTACACACTAACTTGGTTTCATATCCCAATTGTGCAAGACTAATCGTGTGTCTGTGGAATTTTTTGGTTCCCATTTTCTTGTTAAGGATCTTCAAACCGGGACTACGCTACTGAAGGGAGTGAACAATAATGGTGTCTACTATGGACCTATTGCGTTTCACCCAACAGTACACACTGCGCAGTTGTCCTCTTTGTCTCAGTGGCACCAACAGCTTGGTCATCCGTCCAATAAGGTGTTGCAACTGGTGTTGCAACGCTGTAATGTTCCAGTTTCTATGTCATCTCTACGAAAATTCTACTGCTCTTCTTGCAATATTCATAAAAGCCATAAGCTGCCTTTTGCCAAAAATACTCTAGTTAGCACTAAACCTCTACAGTTAGTCTATACTAATGTATGGGGGCCTACGGGAAAGTCTATTGATGAGTTTTACTATTATCTAATATTTGTTGACCACTTTTCAAAATACATTTGGCTGTACCCCATGAAACGTAAGTCAGATGTCTTTACAATATTTACTTAGTTCAAAAAATTAGTGGAAAAATATTTTAGTTTTCCGATTGTCTCTATTTACTCAGATAATGGGGGAGAATTTGTAAAACTTATACCATTCCTGAACACCCATGGTATCTCTCATTTCACCACACCACCACACACTCCTGAGCATAATGGTGTCGCAGAGCGACGACACAGGCATGTGGTTGAAACCGGTATGGCCCTCCTTCACTCCGCATCCTTGCCGTCTTCGTTCTGGACCTACGCTTTTCAGGCAGCCGTCTATCTCATCAATCGGCTCCCCACACCGGTCTTGGGTAATCAGTCTCTGGTTGACATCCTGTTTCATCAGTCGCCTAACTATAGTAAGTTACAACCTTTTGGCTGTTTATGTTTCCCATGTTTGCGCCCTTATAACACCAAAAAGCTACAACTGAAGTCGCGTCCATGTGTCTTTCTTGGCTACTCCAACACTCAATCGGGTTATAGATGTCTGGATCCCAGTTCCAATCGGATTTATGTATCTAGGCATGTTAGGTTTGTGCCTCATGTATTTCCTTATAAAGATTTGCAGGAAGCATCTACCAACTCACCATCTGCTTTACATGGTTCTGAATCACGCAATATTGTGTTCAAATCATCCCCTTTGTCTACACAGGTTGAGAACGTTCCCCCGGCTGCACAATCACCTGTGCCAACCTTTGTGCCTTCTCCAAGTACGTCTCAGTCTAACGTAGCTGACTACCCGCAACCTGCTCTGGTGGGTGTTCCAACTCCAGTTTCAAAACCCGTTCCAATACCAGTTACAACTCCAGTTCCAACACCAATTCCAACTCCAGTTCCAACACAGTCAGCTGCGTCCAGTTCATCGTCCACCACTGTTCCACAAAGTGGTCAACATGCAGGCCAATCCGTGTCTGACTCCCAGCCCGTCACAACCTCCGAAACTTCTCAACCATAGAATAATCTTCGTCGTTCTTCCCGGGAGCGTCGTCCTAATCCTAGGTATTCTGACTATGTCATTAACCAAGTCACTTCACATCCCTTGCCACCCACTTTAGAACCTTCTACCGTCGCCCAGGCTCTTAAAGACGCTCGATGGAGGAAGGCGATGGATGAGGAGTTTGAAGCGCTCCAACGTAACAAAACATGGCAATTGGTTCCCCGCTGTGCAGCTGTCCCGATTGGCTGCAAGTGGGTCTATCGTGTCAAGCGTAAACCGGATGGGTCGGTCGATCGGTACAAAGCACGACTTGTGGCTAAAGGTTTCTTGCAGACTGCTGGCCGGGATTATTTTGAAACCTATAGCCCGGTTATGAAACCAGTGACCATCCGTGTGGTTTTGACTATTGCCTTGAGTAATCGCTGGACTTTGCGCCAGTTAGATATTAATAATGCGTTCCTTCATGGGACGCTGCATGAGGAGGTGTTTATGGAACAACCACAGGGCTATGTGGATCCTTCGTTTCAGTCCCATGTTTGTAAACTCACTAAAGCTCTATATGGTCTCAAGCAGGCGCCTAGAGCTTGGTACTTGGAGCTTTCACAGTTTTTGTTACGCTGTGGCTTTGTTAAGTCACAAGCAGATGCTTCTTTGTTTGTCTATTCTGCTAATACTGTCATCGTTTATTTCCTGGTGTACGTGGATGATATTATCTTAACAGGTAATGATGTTGCTTGGCTTGATCGCTTTGTTGGCACTCTGTCAGCCCGGTTTGCTCTCAAAGATCTTGGCCCTTTACATCACTTCTTAGGTGTTGAGGTGGTTCCAACACCTGCTGGTCTATTTCTGACTCAGAGTCAATATGTCACTGATATTCTGGTTCGATTTAAAATGGATGGTGCAAAGGCTGTTTCAACACCACTAGCTACCTCGGACAAGTTGCTGCCTGCGCCGTCTGGTGCAACGCCGGTTGATGTCACTCAGTTTCGGCGTCTCCTTGGCTTGTTGCAGTACCTGGTTGTCACTCGGCCAGATGTATCTTATGCAGTCAATCGTCTTTCGCAGTTCATGCGCTCTCCTACGGAACTGCACTGGCAGGCTGCTAAACGGCTGCTGCCCTATTTGAAGGGTACGGTTTGTCATGGCTTGTTCCTCCGTGCTGGGCAACCCTTGTCACTCAGAGTGTATATAGATGCTGATTGGGGTGGCTGCACTACTGATGGTCGTTCCACCACGGCGTACTTGGTGTATCTTGGTTCCAATCTCATATCTTGGAAGTCTGCTCGCCAGAAGTCTGTGTCGCGCTCTTCCACGGAGTCTGAATACCGGGCTTTGGCGAATGTTGCTGCAGAAGTCCTGTGGGTGAAAAGTTTGCTTCGTGAGCTTCGATTGCAGCTGGTGAAACCTCCGCTTTTGTTCTGCGACAATCTTAGCGCAACATATGTGTGCAAGAACCCGGTGTTCCATTCACGTATGAAGCATCTGGCACTCGATTACTTCTTTGTTCGTGACTTGGTTGCTAATGGTTCGATGGTGGTTCAGCACATCCCTTCAAAGAATCATCTCGCTGACTTCCTTACTAAACCCTTGGGTCGCTCCACGTTTCTTCTCTTTCGGTCCAAAATTGGAGTCTCCGATGGGTCCTCCATCTTGCGGGGGCGTATTAAGAACATTTGAGGCTCACATTATTTATCTCTCTATTTTAGCTCCTGTTGATTAGCTCTGTAGGTTAGATTAGTTGTTGTAACTACTTCTCTAGCTTTCCTCCTCTGTACACTATTTATAGCTGCATGAGCTTACATTAATAAACATCAAGTTCATAAACTCTATATTTTGTGCTAAGGCAGTGTCAGAGTAGGCTACGAATACAAAAGACATGAATAACAATGTCATTACATTTGTAACCATTTGAATATTCTGACATTTAATTATAATAACTATAGAAACTATTTTTTGTAACTTGGCAAAAGGATAACAATTGGAATACATTGATCCTGTTTGGTAACATAGTTAGCTTATCAGTCTATTTTGACTTATCTGACTTGGTTAAACAATTAATATGAATGTTTAATTAATTAACTTTTTATAATAGCGCTTATTGTTCAAAATGCTAAAATTCAAAAAATTGTTCAAAGAAGCTTTTTGGATAAGCTTTTTGAGAAGTTTTTTGAGAAAGTAATTTTGCATGTAATAAGATATCAGCTAATAGCTAATTTACCAAATACTTTTTTACAATCAGCTAATTTTATCAACTAGTAAACCCCACTAACCCAATCAGCTAACATCTATTTACCAAACATCCCCATTATTATTCTTAACTTTGAATGTTCCGAACTCCTCAAAAGTTCATTCACTTATTATTCACAATTTTCAATTCTATTGCATTTAGATATACCAGATCGATCCAAAATCAATCTATGGTTACATGTTAGGACCATAATGTTTAGATTAACGTAACGCTAACAATTATGTTAATTCCATCGTACCATATAGTAATGAACATAATTGGAATGATGTCCACAATATTATTCATATAGCCCCGCATATGCACAATATGATCACACACCAATACGGCAATACATACATTAATGTTTGCAAGATATACACAACTATAGCTCATAGGTTCTATGATTATATCTGACTCCATCTTCTATCTAGATTCATCTTCTTCTTTTTCTTTATTAAGTTGCCCCCAATTAACTTCATTCTAATTCAAAGGACAACAATTTTGTGCTTACATCAAGGAAAGAACATATATGTGATTCCACAATTAAGCAATTAATCTAACCGTAGAGATGTAAAGGCAAACGTGGAGTAAGGAGAGTACAGAGTGGAGTTGCCTTGACACTTGTTAGCCCTCCGGTCTCTGTCATGTCGATTAGCTCATTCGAAATTCTTTTTAAATCAAAGCCATGAATAAGATTAGCCAAGACCAACTCTACTAATTCTAGTCCAAGAGAAAATCCAGGACACATTCTCCTCCCACTGCCAAATGGAATTAGCTCAAAATGATTACCCCTTAAATCGATCTCTTTGTGCTCACCCAAGAATCTCTCAGGCCTAAACACATCAGGATCTGACCAAAAATTCGGATCTCGTTGAACCTTGAAGACATTCACCACTACACGTGTACCATTTGGGATGTGATAGCCATTGACAGTGCAATTGTCTATTGATTGATGAGGTAGTAAAAGAGGACCGGGAGGATATAAACGTAAAGTTTCTTTGATCACCGCTTGAAGATAAGTCAATTTACTTAGGTCGGAATGATTAAGGCGTCTTTCCCTCCCAACATGGATGTCTAGTTCAGCTTGGATCTTCTCTAGCACACAATAATTGTTTAATACTAAAGAAAGCGCCCATGTTAATGTTACTGTAGTTGTATCGGTGGCCGCTGACAACACAGACTGCCATGTAAATTTAAATAATTATTTGGGTTTGAGAAAAGATGAATGAGATGAAACCAAATTAATTAAAGAACAAAAGAGTGACATGCATACCATGGAAGTGGCTTTAACAATTGTGTCAGCATCAAAATCTTTATTGTGATCCCCATCATCTTTGCCATGAAAAGTGGACAGCAATCCATCCATGAAGTCTTCTTCCTCTTCTTCTTGAGATTTCGTATTTCTTTTCTTTTTATGTTCTTGTAGCCAACCTTCCATTATGGTGTCCATCTCTTTGGCTGTCTCCTTCATGGCTTTCTCATGTCCTCCTATATCCAACCATCTTAGCCATGGCAGGTAATCACCCACAACTGACGTTCCCAACAGATCGAAGAATCTCCTAACCGTCACCACTGTCCGTTTCCCTTCTTCCTCGTACCGCTGCCCGAAAAGGATTTGCATCATGATGTCCATGATTAGTTTCCCGAACAACTCCTTCATGTCCAGCTTTACATCCTCGGATTCTTCATTCTTGTCCCTCAGCCAGCTTCTGTAGATATCTTGGGTAAACGATGTTACTCCCAATTCCCAAAACCGCCTGAGCGTCTGGAGATGACGGTTGGACAGTAGGTTGAGCACGACAGCCTTGCGGGCATCGCGCCAGTTCTGATCGTACGGACCCAGGCCTAACATGACGTTGTTGTACCCCATGATCTCCGAAGCTAAGGTCTTGGGCCGGCCAGCGAGCGCTCTGTCGTTGGTGGTAAAGCATTCTTTGGCGATTCGTGAGTCGCTGACCACCAGGACTTGATGCGCACCGAGCTTTAACCGGAATATAGGGCCGTATTTGTCCGCCATGTCGGCTAAGATCTTGAAGGTGGCTCCAGGGGCGCAGAGGAGGTGTAGATGTCCGATTATAGGCCACGCTCCGTCTGCTTCGGGTACTTTTTGGCTCGATCCTTTGTGAAATATTAAGATGTTGTAGATAAAAGTGATGAGTAGTAGAGAAGTGGTAGCCAAAGCTGCTACAATGGCTGCTATCAGAGTGAAATCCATGGTTTGAACCGTGAGCTCACCTAGATATTTTCATTTGCCCACGTTGTAGATTGCATACGATTATATACACATGTAAGGAAAAATAAGAAAATTAGAAGTAGTTGTTCATTGCGTCTTAACATTGGTTCAAAAATCAGGCCTAGGCACCGATTAATAGGCACTAGGCATTGGCCGACCGCCTACGGTATCACCATAATCGGTGGTCTAGTCGGCTAGCTGGCTATGCCACTGACTAGGCCATCTAAGCGCTGCATAGGCCGCCTAGGCATCCTAGTACTAGGCCTCCTAGGCATCGATTAGGCTGCCTAGACACCGATTAGGTTGCATAGTTAGTCGATTAGCTATTGTTTCCTTCTTTTAAAAGTTGTATCTAATTCGAAAGTATGTAGCAACGTTTTTAAAGATGAAGAAGATGGATCTTCGGGATTAACCTTTAATGTGGGTATATGCTCCATTTAAAAATCCAAACTGTGGGCAAATTGTTCAAGGTTTGAAGATTGTTTGGTTTAGAGGGTGGCAGATATTTAACTAAAAAATCATTTTTGTATGAGAGACTGTTGAAGTATACCGAGATCTCAATAAAGTGCTTCAAAGAATCTCAATGAGAATATTTTTGGAGTTGCGAGGCCCTGACGTTTGATCAGCAATTAGGATGCATCTTTCATTGCTTCTCCTAGCAGGTCGGTCTAAACATTTTATAGGTCCGAGGTCAAATTTAAAAAAAAAAAAAAAAAAAAAAAACCCTGAAAAATTAAAATTTAAATTTAATAATACTAAAAAAATATCAAATAACATGAAATAATTAAGATGTAAAAAAAATTCAACAATTTTTTAAATATAAAAATAATCATGACAAAAAATTCATGCGTGCTTTACTTAATGCAAAATTGTCATCAATAATTACATCAAAGATTAATTAATATTCTCTAGTATATCCTTTTCAATACACAAAATAAATTAAAATAAAACCAATCTTCATATAATAAAACTAATAAACTTACCATTTCATTATACATAGAAATCCTAATAAATAGAATTAAAATACAAATAAAATTTTAATTCAACTCTTAAACAATGTATAATTAGAAATTTAAGATTTCTAAACAACAATTAACCCAATTTATTTTAGTTGTTAGTTGTTACGCATATCAAAGAGAATATCTTCTCCCAAAAAAAACAAAATATCAAAGAGAAAATATCTAACACTTCAATAGGAGGGCGAGGGAACCAATCATCATATATATATATGCATGAATGGTCACTGCTAGTCCTTTAGATAATATTAATTACCCCGTACTATATATAATGTTTTATTCGAAAATTTTATGCTACCTAATGGCTACATATATATGGTGTTTCGTGTTTATATTTTACCAACCATCAAGGCATGTACTTTAAATCACCAAATATATATATATATATATATATATATATATATATATATATATATATATATATATATATATATATATATATATATATATATATATATATATATATATATATATATATATATATATATATATATATATATATATATATATATAGGATCCGGATCAGGTGAGGACCTAATCTTAGGTGAGGACGTGAGGACTAATCTAGACCATTAAATTAGAATGATGTATGATTGAGATTAAAAGAAACAAATCACACGGATTAAGAAAACAAATCCCTTTAAAATATTAAAATATATAAATTTAGGGTAAATCAGTCTTATTAAAAGATGTGCATTCCTATACAAAATGTTGTGCATTCCTATACTGAGTGTTGTGCATTCCTATACTGAGTGTTGTGCATCAATAACTTCATTGTTGTGCATTCAAACCCCGCTAAAAAATCATACAGTGAACATCCAATGTTCTACGATGTATTGAACTATGTGCTATAATGCACAACTCCCTAGCCTATAGTGCACAACTTACAACACTAGGTTGCACAATCAGCACACACGAATGCACAATTGTACTACCCAGGCATTTATACATATACACGACAATCCAAATATAGACAATATTATACTCAAAAGAACAAGCGAAAAAAAATAAAAAATACTGATTAGTTTGCATGGGCGAACACTCAATCAATGATGAAGAAATCGCGGCTCCAAATTGCAACGGTGATGATCCAAGAAAATAGGAAACCAATTTGGCCCAGAATAATACATGCGTTCACACTTAAAAAAAAATAGAAAAAGACACTATTATCCCACTTTAACAAAAAAGATCAATCCATGTCATCTCAAGAACTCAAATATGGACCATCCAAATAAAAAACAAACGCACAAGATTAGTCCTCACGTCCTCACCTAAGATTAGGTCCTCACCTGATCCGGATTCTCTCTCTATATATATATATATATATATATATATATATATATATATATATATATATATATATATATATATATATATATATATATATATATATATATATATATATATATATATATATATATATATATATATATATATATATATATGGAAGGGATCAGGTGCATTTGTTGCTTCCAGTGTGGATGTGCGATGGATTAATGTGTGTGAGGTTTATACTTAATGTGCGTGAGATTTGTACTCAATGTGCCTGAGATTTGTACTTAATGTGCGTCATGTTAATATGCGTGAGCTTTGTACTTAATGTGCCTGAGTATTGTGTTTAATGTGCGTGAGATTTGTGCTTAATATGCGTGCCTATTTCAGAATTACGAGCTCAGAAGGAAGCAGAACAGAAACTCACGCACATTAACGCCCAAGCTTCTTGTTACTTCTTCCTTCAATTTGGCCATGGATTATGGATTATCAGCTACCTTCAGTGCAGTTGAATGTTTATATAAATGACGTACGCACAGTAAAATTTGCACAACAGCTAGGTGTGGATTTCTGTTGTATTATTCCTATAATTTTTAACCACCATAGCTCGCCTCCGCATCATCATCATCAGGGAGGGGGCAAATGGCTACTGGGGATGGGAAAGAAGCTGACATCAATATTTTCTACTGCATTTTACACATTCATGCACATTAAGTACAAATCTCAGGCACATTAAGCACAACACTCACGCGCATTGAGTACAAATCTCGCATACATTAATCATCCGCACGGGAAGCATTCACCACACAGGAACCTTTCACTATATATATATATATATATATATATATATATATATATATATATATATATATATATATATATATATATATATATATATATATATATATATATATAAGTGTTAGAATAATTATGATATTGCTCACTAATTAATTATTTTAATGTTTCTCAATTAAGATAAATATTTATCTTTAAATTTAATAATGTGCTAATTTTATTATTGGTTAATTAAGAGATAATATCATATTGATTCTAACCATTCATCAGTTTATCTCTCACGTTGATGGAACATGAGAATAAAAGGTTATTATTATGAGACTCTGGTCTTTTCTCTTATCTTCCGCATAACTAAAAGCTCACTCCATCGAAATTCTTAGTCTAAAAAAATGCAAAAAATCTGGAAGGAGAAATCAAGTTTCTAGTTTAAGTAACTCACGGAAAAATGCATGGACCCATGTATGTTCTTTAAACGTCAATTAAGCATTATATGTGAAATTCATTGTGTTCTGAAGATCTTGTGTGCTTAGGATTTATCTTACATTTGGTATTAGAGCCTAGTTGAAGAACATATGTTTTTTCATATATGATGATGCAAATCAATGGCTTGTTACATATCTTACTGAAACATCATATTATATGGATATGTAAATTATAGTACGTATGCAGGGACGGAGCTAGGAATTTTGTTGAGAGGATGCGAAGAAGCAAGGATGGATCCATCAATTTTTTCGAGTGAAAGCGAAACATTAAAACAAAAGAGATAATTTAAAAAAAAATTACCCAAGAAATATAGGTATAAATATTGTTGGATATGGGCAAAAAATAATTTTATTAAATCTAAGGTTGTCCAAGCAAGAGCACAAGGCAAAAAACTCTCCTTGATACCCGAAATAGTCTCATATTGGGCGTTAAGTGTGTGAATGTGTGCCTAGTCTACAAGCTCTACTCTCGTAGCAACAAACACACTCCAAATCAAGCATATAATTGGGATCCAACAATTATACACAATTTCACAACAAACCCAATTCACGCAACTAACCCTAGAACACCCAAATAATCCCCTTTATGCAATACAACTCAAATAGGCATCAATAGCAAGAAATCAAACCAAATCCTAGTGCCAAAACACTTAGTTATTCATAATATAACAATAGATACACAATACTGAAAGAGTAATTGAAAGCTAGGGCCGGCCCTAGGGCAAGGGCAGGTTGGGCCCTTGCCCAGGGCCCATGCTTGGGGGAGGGCCTCATCCTATTTCTTATATATATAGTATCTATGTATTGAGTATAAGTAATTTATATACATATATTTTGTATTAAGATGAATTAACTTGGTTGGTAAGATACTTGAATTTTAACCTAATTTAACAAAAGGCCAGTGATCCAACCCTTCCCCTCACATTTTAGAATTCTTTGCTTATATTCTAATGTATATTTTAAAAATTTATTTTTATTGACTTTTAGAATTCCTCAACTTTACTTCTTTGCTTATATTGATATATTCTAATGTATATTTTAAAAATTTATTTTTATTGATTTTTAGAATTCCTCAACTTTACTTCTTTGCTTATATTCTAATGTATATTTTAAAAATTTATTTTTATTAATTTTTGGTGTTTAATACGGAGAAGTATTTTTAATGTAGTTTTTAAATATATAAATTTTCATATATTTATACTAAACATATAATGAAAATTTTTTATATTAAATATATAAATTTTTATATTAGATTTTTAATGGAGTTTCT